ATTAATAATTTGTGATGCATATGAGAGACATGATATAGTTTTAGGATTAGGATGCTTTAATTGAAATACATTAAACAAGAGCTTCAAATAGTGTTGGTATTTAACCCATGCATGCATGAATTGCTTCATTTATATTCCCCTCTAGAAGAATAATGGGTTTGAATAGTTCATGCTAAACAAAGAGAGTCTTTACATGAATATATATTTTAGGTCATAACACATGTCTTACATTTCTATTTGATACAAAAATTCTTTTATATTTAGTTTACATAAATTATCTAATCAATAAAATACACGAATTTTAATTAAAAATTTAAATATGATTTTTTTTTTGGATTAACTACGTATTTTAATGATAAATTACTTGATAACATGTATATACTTATAATCTTATATTTTATATAAATAAAATTTGAACCATACATTTCTTTTATTAAAGTTTAAAAATAATGATCGATCCAAATGTTTTTCCATGTTACTTTTTTTTTTCTTTATAAAATGTTTAAGTTCAAATAATATCTGATAATATATTAGATTGAACTAATTTCAAGTTTGGAAGTTTAGAAATCCATACGAAAAAGACGAAGAAAAAATGAAAGACATAAAAATAGTGAAAAAATATAGATAGAATAAGAAAATAAAATGAGAGAATGTCTTATTGGATTAGTATTTTTAAAAATTATTAAAGTCACTATAAATTTGAGTTTAAAAATTCAAATTACACGCCGATTGGAGTTTTTCAAAACTCACATCAAACTCAATTCATGTCTGTCACAAAACAAATTTATAACTAATCACTTAATTAAGTTATGACAATTTCAACATATATTTAATATGACATTTAATATTTAATCATCGTTTACATATAACAAATACAAATATTTTTTAATTTAAAAAATATATATAAGAAAACACGTAAGATAAACAAAATAAAAAATAATTTTGTTTAAATATAATTCTTCTATTTATGATTAGAAATTAGAAAAATTACAAAAAGAATTATTCTAAACATCTTTTTCTTCATTAGTGTCTAATATTATAATCAGTCTAATGCTAGTAAAGTAAATTAGTTATTATTTTTTAAAGTGTATTGAAGTCAATATTTAATAATTATGACTTTTAAATCATATAAAAATAATATTGATTATAACACAAACGATTTTAGTGATTCTTTATTAAAATAGTCATAGTTGTATAAAAAATAAAAAATAAAATAATTTTATAAAGAAATTTAAATTATAATAAAAGTATTTTTAAAATTAAGGATTAAAATAAAATGTTTTTTTTTTTAAATTAAATAAAAAAAAAAACATCTCTGTTGTATGAATTCATATGCCAGCTAGTCATATAAAGGAAGCGCCAATCATATAAATTGTTTATTCATAGAAGCATAAATAAATATTAAAATAAAACTAGAAAATTCCTATAAATATTGAACATGAACACAGTACTGATACAGAACGAGCTACGAACAGTTGTGTCTAATACAGACTGTTAAAAATCCATTTCTCTACGTTCTCGTCCATTTTCCCCCCCGTTGTTCTTACTTCGTTGAAGTCCCAAAATCCATCAAGAGTCTCCGACAAAACAAACACAATCAAGATCCAAGCTTCCCTCGAAGAATGCTTTTCAAGGCTATAAAGAAGAAAATGTGGATGTTTTCTTATTGATCTCTCTACCCAAATACCCCTCTGCAATTTTCTTTTGCGTAATGGAAGGATCAACTATCGCCATAACAGCCAGCTCGCTCAGCACGACATTGATATTCAAACCCTCTAAGCTTCTGAACTTCCGTCTCCAAAAGCTTTCCTTCTGGTTCGCCCCCACCACCCGCCCTCCTGGTTTTCCCTCCTCCACTCCTGGCTCTTGAGTTATCTTCATTAAAAACCTTTTAGAACAATGGCCGCTTTCACTTTCAATGCAAATTCCTCATCTGGGTCGGATTTTACTGCGTTTTTCAATCCATTTTCTTATAGTTTAGGGGGGTCTAAAGGTGTTTTCAAAGATGAATCTGTATCGCAGTCTCTGGGGCTTGATAAGGAGAGAGGAGAGCTTGTTAAAACTCCGATGAGAGTGGGGAAGAAGGAAGCATCAGAAGCTAAAGCTTTGGCGGTTTTGAAGAGTCACAGTGAAGCAGAGAGGAGGAGAAGAGAGAGGATCAACGCTCATCTTGATACGCTTCGCGGCCTCGTACCTTCTACTGGAAAGGTGATCGTTTTATCCGTTATATTTTCATCAGTTAATTGGTGAAATGCCCATAAATTTTCCTTTAATACTTAATCGTTGTTATAGCATATGCATCCAAATCTTTGTGAAGCACTTTGATTGAAAGAACATTATAACACCAGCTCTGGATTGGTTATTTTGGAAATTTATTTCTATGAAATGAAAGTAGTGGTTGTGGATGTGTATAGCATGTAGTATATACATTTGGCTTTAATAATGAAGTATGCCTGATGGGTGAGAAATTAGTAGAACATAAAGGACTTTGTGTGCAGTATATGCAACTGATTCTAGGACGAGTCAGCTTGGTTGGTGAGAAAATTAGAGGAACATAACCTTTCCTTCTTTGATGCCCAAATGGATGGAAGATTTTTACCCAGCTTAGGCACTAGTGACTACTTTGATTCACGAAATGGAGGATATATTAGGTTCAAATCTTTATATTTGATTTCTCTCAAATGATTAGAAGGTATATGAAATTAGGAGAGGTTCTTGATGATTAAAGAATGTGTTTCTTGATGAAGTTTATGTTATCTAATTTACATTTTTCTCATAGATTGAATTTAGGTTATGCTTTTCTAAAAATTCTCTTTTTTAAACAAAACTCGCTTTTGTCTTAAGAATGTTGAGGTCATTTTTCAAACTTATAAGGCTCACAGTAAAATCTTCTGTTTCATTATCTATGTACTTGAAGTCTTATTGTCATTTCTGGATTTTGGGGATCGGTAAGGTACAAAAGTCGATGGTAGATAAATAGGTTTCATATAGAATTAAAAAGATAGAAGTCAAAAGACAACATGTTTTAGTCTAGTGGGTTCAATATTCTTGATGTTTCGAAGCATCTCTTCTCTTTTGGCCCTAGCTTGAAAACCTGTAAAAAGTATTCACTGTTATATTCCAATTTCTGCTATTTTCCTCACAACTGGATATTAACAATAATTCTGAACGAGTGAGTTTGGCTGGATATTTTCAAATCAATCAAACACCTCATGCTTATCTACAGGAATTAGGTGGATGGTAATATAAAAGACATTTCACAGAAAGAAAGGAGGAGGATGTCAACATCTTTTTCTATGCACACTATTAACTATGAGGTAAGGACTAAGAAGAAAAAAAAAAGAAAAAAGGGGTGACTTATTGTGGTTAGAACATCTTGTGATCTTAGTTTACTACTAGATACTTAATGAGGTTCACAATAATTTCTTTTTTCAACTTCAACTTGCTTTTCATTTGATGATCTTCTGGTATTTTACCAACCAAAATGTAGGTTTTTGTATGTTAGTTAGCATTACTGGTGATATGTATTGAAAATCATTAGCAATTTAGTGCCAGCTGTATTGTTTTTATTACTAATAAGGTCTCTCTATGTGCAGCATTGTCATGGTTGAAATGTAGGTTAAGACCAGCTGACTTTGATAAGAAATATAAATGGCTTCTTAAGTTAAATCTTCATTTGTTTAGTTTCATATAATCAACAAAGTCAAAGTCTTGCAGTAATTGGCTGGATGGAATATAAGAAATATAAATGGCTTTTTAAGTTAAATCTTCATTTATGTAGTTTCATATAATCAACAAAGTCAAAGTTTTGTAGTAATTGGCTGGATTGAGTCCATCCTCCTACGTGGCCAACGACCTATCAGCATCATTCTATAATAGTTACCAGCATCATTATATAATAGTTACTAAATCTAGTTTGAGAGTCAACGGAAAACTTCTATTTGCCAGGCCTTCATTTCTTTATTGATAGCAGGCCTCATGGCTTTATGAAGAGACATTGTTGCTGGTGTTCTAGTAGCTGTAGCTAGTTAAGCTTTGGATCACTTCTCTGGAATTCCTTTCTAGCCTGTATTGCCAGTGTCCTGTACTTCTTTTTATAATTACCTCAAGACAATCCATTTCTTCTACTTTTGTCTTTTCGATAAAGAAAAATATTATTCTTAATTAAACAAAAAAAAAAAAAACACTTAAACTTTTTTGAGAATATCTCTGTCCTCAACTTTTTGGTTTGATTGTGTTTTGTAGATGGACAAAGCAACATTGCTTGCTGAAGTTATCAGCCAGGTGAAAGAACTGAAGAAACATGCATTAGAAGCCAGTAGAGGTATTCCCATTCCAATGGATGATGATGAAGTGAAAGTTGAAACCTGTGATGAAGAATCAAAAGAAGGAACATTTTATTTCAAGGCATCTCTCTGTTGTGATTACCGTCCTGAGCTATTGATTGACTTAAGACAAGCTTTAGGTAGCCTTCAACTGAAGGTGGTTAAGGCAGAAATGTCAACATTGGGAAGCCGGTTGAAGCATGTTTTTATCTTCACCAGTCACAAAGGGCATATTGACGATGCTAATGATCGCCTAGTCTTTGCAGATTCTGTTCACCGAGCCCTAAGCGCCGTCGTGGATAAGGCTTCTGCAATGCTGGAGTATTCATCCAGAACAACACTTCCAAACAAGAGACAAAGGATCTCTTTTTTTGATTCCTCAAGCTCATCTTCATGATAGCTTGAACTCTTGTCATCGGTTTTGTCTCTGGGTGAGTATCATATATGCAAGCAGATAATCTGTCATTGTTTATAGTTATCGATGCACAAAATATGTGCACCTGATTTTCTTGGTTTTGGGAACTAAAAGTCTTGGTTTTGAGAAGATACTCTCAGTTTGCTTCATCCCCATCATTAATATTTGTGAAATAAACATTTTACAGCAAGACAATATAAGCACCTAAGTTTCTTGGCCGTCGATCCGTCACAAACATGTGTATCCGAGAAGGCAAAAACTGCTTTTTATGCAAGTGTTATTATGTAATGGATGTTTTGGAATCTATAATAGTTTGGATTTGTGGGTGTACTTAGATTTGTCAAAATCATCAACACATCTAATAAACCATTTTGATGGTATCTTATGCTAAGGCACATACCATGAATGTTATAGTTAATTTTCTGGTTGAACTGATGATAATCTTTTCAAAGGAGGTTGATTATGCTTCTGAGAGTTTGTTCGGCTTAAGAGTACAACAAGATGCTCTTAATAATCTTTAACTATTTAGTTCGTGTTTTTCTTTTCTTGTCATGAGGATTTCTAAGTCTGTCTACTAAGTAAATTCTTTCGATGATTTACATTCATCATTTATCTGTATAATTGTTTACAATTTTGCAAAGAAACGACGAAACCAAAGTGAATTATTTTCCTTTTAAAAGTCTGTTCTGACAGTAAATTCATATATCACAAATCATTCATTCAATTTATAATTGATTAAATTAATTAAACAAACGATAATTTATTTAAATTTATTCACACAAGAATAATAAAAACTAATAAAAATTGAGAATTTTCGATATAGTATGCTCCGACTCAAGTTTTTGGTATAAACTGAGATCTAAACGTTTATAGCGATGATGAATTTTTATCTCAGAAATATTTAAGCTTATGACATCACATGTTTTTAGGAGTATTAGACTCTTTGTAAAGAAATTGATACAAAAAACTATATCTAAAAGATTATATACTTTTAGAAAACTTGAAGACAAATTAATATCATATACATTCAAAAGGGTATCAATTACACTATCACTATCACTATAAAAAAGTTATATGGTTGTTTATACATCCAATCGACTCATTTTAAACCATGTCTACAAGAGGCCTTCCCATTATACTTTAACTTCTGTCACAAACACACATATACATATCTTTATACCTATAGAACCTTAATCGAACGTTTAAATTTCATTTACTTCATATCTTCTTCGTACCTTGGAATGTATTAGATGAAAGTATAATTTGTCTTAATCTAACAAAACAAATTTAAGAAATAAGAAAAAGGAGAATATATTTTCTAAAATGTAAAGAGTGCTCAATATGGATCCCAACAACAGAAAAGTAAAAAAGTGAAAGTTTTGTTGCAATTAAGAAATCCTCGTCTTAAAATAAATAAAATATCCCCCCTTGATTTTCAGTTATTTTTTTTTCTTTTCTTTTTAACATTTATGATTTTTTTAATAAATTTTTCCTTGTATCTCGTAACTCTTATAGATTTTTAATTTTCATTAGTTTTTCTATACAGAAGATTATTCACATAAAATATTTTAATTACCACTAACTGAAAGAAAGACACTGAGGTAAGAAAATGAAAAGTGTATTTTGATAGAGCATTAGAGTAATTTTAGTCACATATGTCATTAAGATTATCTTTTGACAACAAAACTGAATTCAAGACTTACGTTTTTAAGTTATAATAAACATATAGTATTGAAACATCAAATAAGTAGGAGTTTGAAAAAGAATTTAAACTAGTCCTTCATCAAGTAAGACATGACTGAGAATCAAAGAAGAAATGATTTTGGTCGTTCTTGAAAAACTTGAGGATGATTAAATAGAACTTTCAATTTTGCACCTTTCATCATCTACTTTAATCTTAAATACTTTAATTTGTATGAAAAAAATTTATAAAATAAAAATATCATTTACTTTAGTTATAGATAGATTCGAAAACCCTTAATTTAAGATATGATAGTTAATAAATCACTTAAAAATAAAACTGTAACACTCCAACCCTCTTTTTTTTTTATTTTATTATTAATGTAATTATTATTGGAATATAATTATTATTTATGTAATTATATATTGAATTTAATTTAATTTAAATTATTTTAACAGAAATAATAATAAAAATAGGTAAAATTATTTAGAGATTTAATTAAAAATAATTTTGAAAAAAAAAGAGTGAAAATTTGGGTTCTATGGGTATTTTTGAAAAGAAAATTGAAAACTGGGGATCAGAACACAATTTAAAAAAATTGCGCTACGTCAGCCGCCCGGTCAGCAGCCCCGGGCCAACCAGGACACGCCACGTAGCAGAGACGCTGATGCGGGAGGCTACGCGGAAGGGAGCCACGTGGGCGATCCGCGTGCGCGCGATCGAACGGCTGAGATCCATTCCCGCGCGCACAGACGACCCAGATTGAATTGTGCACGGACGGCCCAGATTGCATCGCGATGAATGGCCCAGATTTGAGCCGTCGCTGGAGAAGACAGCCCAGCCGCCGAAGAGCCGACCGCTGCCACCCGCCACAGCACCAGAGCACTTTCCAGCCACCAAGCGAGGTAAAAATTCTCTCCTTGGCTCAGAATTCGATTCTAAACACACCTGTGGCCAAATCGGAGCCAAAACACTAGCCAATTGGCCGGAAAATGCTGCCGAAGTGCAGCGGTGCCGCCGCGAGTTGTCTCGATTTTTGCCTCCGATGAGGCCCTTCTCGGTTCCCATTAGACGTAATTTTTTCACCATTGTGATCACCGTTTCCTCCTCTACAAGTTGACTGAAGCAAAACACCCAACCGCAACGTGAGCCTGAGGAGCTGCCGCACCGGAGAGCTCTGCCGCCGGTAAGTTTCGGTTTTTTGTATTTTTTCGGCCCACCGAGGGCCTTACGTGTGTTTTCTTGCAGGAACTGGTGCAAGTTTGGTTGAATTCAGCCGAAAACGGTCGAAAACAGCCAACCCGAGACGGATCACCGCTGCAGGCGGCGGTGCCGTCACCAGAGCACGACGGAGCCGTTGTGTCGAAATTTTGAAATTGGCCGAGTAAGCCCTGGGTCTGATTTTCAATTATTTGGGAACATGTGTAAGTACCGTAAGCGCGTTTCAGTTCCCGGAAAAAAATTTAGGCAATCTAGGGATTGCCCGTAGGTGCAGTGAAAATCCAGTTTTTGACTTCGAATCAGGTAAGGATCCCTCACCCTATTTCCTATCATGGAATTAAAGTTCGAATAAACGGTAATATTGTATTTTTACAAATTAATAGATATGCATAATTAATTAAAGTTGCTAATGGAGCCCGAAATCAGACATATTTCTCTGTCAGTTCCAATTTGATTTATTTTACAGTTTAAATGCATTATGGTATCTGATTTATTTATTCTATGATTTTGAATACATGAATCACTGTTTATTTCACTACTGCTTGATTTTGTGAATCTAAGATATGATTGCCTTGTTGGATGCACGTTACTTGTTTAAGTATTCATGTTTGAATGGGTAACGGAGACTAAGAAAAAGAAATTAGGAAATGGGTGTGAATTGATAATTGGATAAGATGACAGTCTCACTAGATATCCTGTGAGATGGTGGATCGACCAGTTCCATAAGGAACCCTATCGGGAATGTTGTTTCATATCGGATGGGGTATGGAGACTTTAAATGTTTTGACGCTCATACCGGACGGGGTATGAAGACGATCCTATAGATTAAGTTTGTTAAGAAAAAGGTTCACGTGTAGCGGGGACCCCTATGGATCCCAATGAATACTAGTAGGCTGATGAAAAGGGGGCAACTGTTGTTTGATGATTGAAATATAAAAGTATGACATGTGTTATGTTACAGATTATGTATGAATTCATGATATCTATGATGTTGTTGTTTCCATGGATTGTTTTTATAAATCCCACTGAGGTAAGTGGACGGTAAATGATTTGATTATTAATAAATGAATCTATTCAAAATTTGTGATCCATTGGTTGTTTTTGGTTTTCTAACAGTTTTTACTTCTGTGATAGTGATATAGTGTGATGTCTTTACTGGGTTAGTGTATCTCATTCCTTAATTAACCATTTCAGATCAGAATGACTTGGTTCTCGAACCCGATTCACAAGAAGATGGCGAGTAGATGCTTAGATGTTTATTAGTTTCCTTATAATCTTTCATTTCTAATATTTCCTTTAAAGAATTTATTTTTTTTATATTGTTAGTACATTTAAGTTATTGTGTAAGGGATATTAATCAAAACCTTTTATTTCGCTTCCGCACTTATATTGTTTATATACATTTCCTTTTAAATTTACGGGATCGTTACAAAAACTCATAACTTTACAATATTTAACAAATATATATATATAATAGTTGTATATTTAAATTTTTAATTCATCACAACTTTGAAAATATGCACTATACAAAACTCTTAATGATCTATTTGTTTCACACTCCTTGCCTTATATATCATGCAGATTTTTTAAAATAAGTATGACAATTTTTTTACAATAGATATTTTGTTAATCTATTTAAGTTAAATTATATTTATATAATTTTTTTAAAATAATTTGTTTTATTATTTATTTAAAATAATAATTATTTTAATATTTATTGTTTAAAAATTTTATCTAAAAAATCTAAAAATTATAATGATTGTTGAAAATTTCGTATTGAAGATTAATGAACAGTTCAAAATCCAAATGTTAGTTTTAAAAGTATACTATTTAATTAATTATAGTTATTTACTTAATTTTTTAAAACATAAACACAGAATTTAATTTTTGGTTAATATAAAAAATATATATGTAATAGTTATATACTTAAATTTTTAATTCATTACAATTTATAAATTTTAAGATTTTACATCATATAAATTTTTATTGGTTTATTTATTTTACACCCTTTATATATCGTGTAGTTTTTTTTTTTTAAATATTTGTATGATAATTTCTTATAATATTTTTTTTATTTATGTACAATTATTTTTATATAATTCTTTTAAAATTATTTTTTATGTAATACAAATTAAAAAATTTAGTAATATTATAATAATTATTAATTATCGGAGTTGAATAGACAGGAATAGTTATTTAAATAAAATCGATCGTATCATCAGAACCGATGTCCTTTTTGGGTTCAAACAAAACTAAATCTATGCAGCCGAAGCTCTCATTCAGAGTCTGACGAAATTACCGAAATCAATGGCGGGGCAGGAGAGCAGA